ACGGCACGCACCGCCGGCCTGGGACAGGTACCTCCCACATCAAAAACGAAGATCGTGATTAGAAGCGATGTGCACTTGGGAGCGTGAGGTAAGACCCCAAAGCAAGCGTAGAAGTATGATTGATTAACAAATAAACCCTCACTAATTGCCTTAAAAAGTCGGATCTCGACAGCCACAGAAGGGGAAAAAAAAAAAAAACAACAAAGATTTAAATTTTCCTTGGGCTAAACATTTTTCCGGCGCGCTCAGACTCGCTCTGAATGTTTCCAGTCATTATCTCCCTAATTAACACACACCGCAAACCAAAAACAAATTTCCCCACCTCGTGGCTCTGGAGGTTCAGATGGATTAAACCAACCTCAGGAACGAGGTCAGCGCTTGCCCCCCGCCCGGCAAGCGGCGTCTTGGGGTGGGAGGCAGCCCAGGACAGGGAGAGATGAAGTTATTATTGGTGAATGAAGTGGAATAAGCCTTTAATTTCCTCCAGCTGCTGCTGGATGCGCTGAGGGACAGGTGAGATCCCCAGGATGGAGCGGGCGAGCCGGGTGATGGGGAGGCACCTCGTCCCCTGACAACCCCCCTGCGTCTTGGGGGGGGGGTGCGGTATTTTTTTAATTACCATCGCTTTATTTTCTATATCTGACACAAAACCAGCTCCAGCCCTTATTGTCCCACAAGGAATTCAAATAATCCCTTTTTGGCAAACTGGTGCTCCAGAGCCCATCACCGGGATGGGACCCCGGCACGGCCCGGAGCTGCGGCTGGGGCTGAAGGCTGCCAAGACCAGGCTGTGCAAGAGCCCCCCCAAATGAGGCTGTTCCCCCTGCCCCAAGGGATACCCCGATATGTAAAAACCCCAAAAGTGCTGCTCCGGGCGCTCGGTGCGTGTTGACAGCCCAGGGCACCCTCCTGCCCTCGCTGCGCCACCGTGGCCACGGCCCTGCCGGCACGGGGGAGCCCATGGGCTCGGCTGGAGTGGGAAACCAGGCTGTGCAAGAGCCCCCCCAAATGAGGCTGTTCCCCCTGCCCCAAGGGATACCCCGATATGTAAAAACCCCAAAAGTGCTGCTCCGGGCGCTCGGTGCGTGTTGACAGCCCAGGGCACCCTCCTGCCCTCGCTGCGCCACCGTGGCCACGGCCCTGCCGGCACGGGGGAGCCCGTGGGCTCGGCTGGAGTGGGAAAAACTGGGTAAAATGAAAGAAAACGACACAAACAGAAAAGAAGGAGCCAGCCCTGCGAGGCCAGGCAGCCCGCTTGACACACAAGTGAAAATTTCAGGTAAAAGCAGCCGGGTGCAGGCGGAGGACTGCCTGCCCAGCTGCCTCGCTCCTCCCGCAGCCCTGGCTCCACGGAATAACAGTAATTAGAGCTTCCTAATGCCTCCAAGTCATTTTCTTTTTCCTTGGCGTAACGTAATTTCTATAGGGCTTGTCGTCTTTATTAGGAGAATTAATCTAAATCTCGCCGTGCTCTGGTCGCTTTGCCGTCCGCTGGAGCCATCCCGAGGAGGGTCAAAGAGGCAGGTCCTCTTCGTGGCATGCAAATAAAAAAATTAAAAAGGGAGGTCAGCTGGAGGCTACAGCGGAGGAAATTGATGATTTTTTAAACAACCAGGGATGTTTGCGTCGGCCTGGTAACGTAATTCGATTTCTGTCGTTAAACCCGCATCGCTGATGTGGGGCCACTTTTGCCCAACTAAGCAAAAATCCTCTTGTTAAACCCGAATTGTCATTAGTGGAACGACGAAATGAGGATGAACGGCGGAGGGGAAGGACTGGCCGCAGCCCAGCGGAGGCGACGGGGATGCCGGTGCCGCAGAGCGAGGGGAGGGCAGAGCGGGTTTCCCCCCGCCCCGAGCACCCGCAGCGGGGAAGGACGAGGGACCCCACAGCACCCGGGGTGGTTGGGGGTGCTCAACGGAGCTGGGAAGGGGCAGGGATGGGATGTGCCCTCCAGGGTCGCATCCTGCATCCTCAGCACTAGGTGATGCTGGTACCCCTGGGCAAAATCCCTGCTGGTATGAGTGGCTCCAGCCAGCTTTCCAGGGAAACATCCCATCCCTGTTTAAACCATCCTGAGGGGTTTTTTTTTTGGCCCAGGGTAATTTTTCTTCTCGTTGCTGCAAGGGTAGACCCACAGGAAGGGGAGGCCAGTGCCATGCCCACCCCAGCAGCATCCTCCTCCCACCCCAGCAGCATCCTCCTCCCAGCCCGGCAGCATCATCCTCCCGTCACAGCAGCATCCTCCCACCCCAGCAGCATCCTTCCCTCCCTGCAACGCCTGGAGAAGGGTTAGGAAAAGCACTTGCACCCTCCCGTGCCTGCGTCCACGAACTGCAAGGCAGCCTGGAAGCATGGCTGGGTCGCCCGCGGCACACGGTGCTGGACACAGCCCACGAGTGGGAAGAATCCTCGCCGTCCCCTCGCCCAAGAAGGTTTCCTTCCACTGCAACATCTCAAGGGAAACCACCCAAAAAAATACTTTCCTTCCCAGTGCTGGGCTGCTGGGCAATGGGGACGTGTCCCAGGGATGGATGGACGGTCCCGTGGTGCTCCAGGGTGGGAAGCAAAGGGGCAGCTCGTGCTCTCCCCAGGCTCATGTGGAGGTCACCAGGCAAGGGACAAAGCAGCAGATCGGAGGATTAATCCATCAAAAAGCAGCTTGAAAGTTCAGGCTGGATCCTGATTAGTAATTAGAGCTGGTGGTCGTCCCACGCACGGGGAAGGTGGGGAGGGCGCAGCCACAGGGCACGAGCCAGCGGCAGGGCAGGGGGGAGACGTGGCGCTGGCTCCTGTGCTCCAGAGCGGCCTTTACCCCCTTGGAGGAGGGAACTGGAGTCCGACAAAGCCCAGCTTAAGTCTCCAGCCTCCATGAACCCCGTATCCAACCCTGCCAGGGCAAAGAGACCGCTGGGTTGTAGCTTCCAGTCTTGCAGGCAGCTTCACGCAGGGAAACTATCGTGAGACATTGCCGAAACTCAGATCCCTTCTGCCCAGAAAATCCTGCCAGCCCAGAAGGTACCAAGAACACGCTATGCAACAAGCTAAAAGCAGCTTCAGTTGGGCAAAAATGCTAACCGGAGCGAAAAGGAAACCTTCCCCGATGGAAGTTTTGACCCCGGGAACACCCAAGGGCCTCCAGTGCATCAGCACCCCCCGTTCACATGGCAAAACCTGGGGTGGCGGTAACAGATACAGGATAAACCCCCCCACACCGACCTCAGGCCGGCCCTTTGGGTTGCGAGACCGCGCCGGGCGCGAGACACCTGGGGATGCGGGTCTGTGCCTGGGGACATCAGAGGAAATCTGCCCTCAGCTTCCCAGCCGGGGCTTTGCAGACGCAGAAACGCGCCCTGCGTTTGTGCCTGCGTTCCTACCTGCCTCGCAGGCACCCACCACCAGCGCAGCCTCCCCAGCCCTGCACCCAAAACTGGGCAGAGCGAGCAGGGCAGGAATCCCAGGGCAGGCGCACCAGGGCGCCAACAACCGCGCTTTTTTTTTTTTTAAAAAAAAAAAGAGGTTATTTCTCCGACACAGTGAATCAGTGCTTTATTTTCAGCATTGAAAGAGGTGCAAGACCAGCAGTGAGCTCCGGGTAAGGAGCTGGCGTGTTGCACTTTTTTATCAGTGCCCTCCTAACGGCGGCACGGAGGCAAAACCCACGCAGAGAAAAGCCTCTGACGTGCCCCCGAGCGCAGCCGTGCCGTCCCAGCACCAGCAGCGCCGCCTCACCAAACCACCCACGCCTCGGGCTGCGCCACCGGACCCCCGGGTCAGCAAAAGGTCTTCCAAAAATCATCATGTATTGATTTCAAACAGGAGGGTTTGGTTTCTGGGACAGGGAGGGAAGTGGAATTCGGGAGAAATCGGTGTCACAGCCCTTCCGAGCGCAGGAGGGAACGCAGACGCCGTTCCTAAAGCCCCAGTTGTGCCCAGTGCAGCCCGTGAGCCCTCCCAGGGCGAGGAGGAACCGTTAGCGCCCCTGGGGTTTACAGCACAGTGATAAATCTGGTGTAAGGCCAAGCCAGAACCAAGCCCGGAGGACTGGGGAAACCTAGAACTGTCTCTACTGTGTGCAAAATGGGTAGAGGGGTGAAACACCTGGGTGCTGTCCAGTGGGATCATAAAATCCTCCTTGCCCTAGCACCCTGGAAGGGTTTTTATAGGGCAATTCATACCATGACCCCAGCCCAGAATAGCACCAGAGATTAACCTAGACTCTGACCTCAGCTAATCCAGCGTTACTCCCTGGAAATGCCAGCGGAGCGACTCTGGATTGCACCGGTGCCACGTCAGAATCCGGAGAGCGTCCTGGCTCGGCTGAAGTGAACGGCAAAACCGCCCCAGAGCTCAGCAGAGGCAGGACCGCAGGCACGCGTGCTGCTGGAAGGGCCAAACCCAAAAGGACTCGGTAGTAGCTGCTACCAGCAGAGGTGAGGGTGCTGGGGAGAACAGGCAGCTGGGGAGGGGGTAAGGGTGGGGAAAAGGAAGAGCTGCAGCCTTTGCATCACCCCAGTTCGCGTGAAACACCCCCAGGCACAGGTCACACAACCCGCCGCCCAGCAAGCGCAGAGCTTCAGCAAACCCATTTCCCCCTCGCCCACCCCCGTGCTCCTCCCGGCACCCCGGAGAGGGAACCGGCCCGGGGAAACCAGGAGCTTCTTCAGGGTTTCTCTTGCTCTCGGGGTCCCCTGGATGGGACGGTGCCCCCCAAGGTATGAACGCAGGGTCAGCCCAAGAGCAGCGTGCCAAGTCGAGCAGCTCGCTTAATTCTCCTTCAGGTCCTGGTCTGCTTTGCCTAAAAGAGGGGAAGGAAAAATCAGGGAGGAAAATCAGGGCTCATGTTTCTCGCACCAGAACCCCCAACCCCTTTTATTTTGCTAACATCTCACAACCGTCACACCCCGCCAGCAAGCCGGGGGGCTACCCTGAGCTCGGCCTCCCAAAGCCTTTGTCTGACCCAGGGCGAGCAAACAGCACGGAAACCACAACGGCAAGACCCGCTCCCTACCCGCAGGGCAGCTGCGAGGCTCAGACTGCCCCGAGGAGCGAACGAGGAAACTCTCCCAGCCCCGTTTTCGCCACCGCCGGAGCTCCCTGCCCTCACTTTGCACCCCCCAGCAGAAAACCCCCCCGCAAGGCTCAGCCGCCCCTGGGGCAGGCAGAGACCTGCGGCCGCACCCAGGAGCTCCAGCACGCTCCGCAGCTCACCGTGAGGTTTCTCTGGGACGCGCACGGCACGCCGCGTGGCTCGGTTACGAGCAGCTTCCCCAAAAGTGAACCGCGCGGGCTGAAAAGCCACAGCCTTTACCTTTCGGGATGAACTTCAGCGAGCTGCTGAATATTCAGAAGCGGGATTGCCCCCTCTTCGGCCCATCGTTGAGGAATTCGTGGCCCAGCCCGTTGCCACACTTGCCGCAAGACACCTAGAAACGCAAGGAGAGGGTTCGCCAGCCGGCGGCCGTGCTCAGCAGACCGGCTCGTGGGAAAAAAAACACACAGGGTTGGGGTTTTTTTTTGTGTGTGTTTTGCTGTTTCCCAAGAGTTTCAGAATCGGCACCTTTAAAGCCCCCGGCCGGTCCTTGCGCTTGGACACGCTGTCCTCGTGGACGGTCTCGGTGAAGGCGGGCCACGGGGACGAGTGCTCGTACTTTGCCCAGCTGGAGAACAGCTCGTGGCCGCACTTGGCGCAGACGTAGATGCCTGGGGAGGGCGGCGGGAGAGGGGTCAGTGCTGGGGGGGGCAGCGGGGCGGGGATTGCCGGGGA